GAGGTGCCCCCCTATCACAGGTGTCCCGGTTCCCCCAGGGCCACACACAGGACACCAACTCCTTCTTTATGTGCCAGCGGCTGCGCGCTCTGGGCGTGCGGGTGGCCCGGGTGTCAGTGGTGCCTGACGAGGTGGACGCCATTGCCAGTGAAGTGGCCACCTTTGCCTCCCGTTTCACCTACGTGCTGACCTCGGGGGGCATTGGCCCCACACACGACGACGTCACCTTCGAGGCGGTGGCCAAGGCCTTCGGGGAGAGGGTGACCCCCCACCCCGAGCTGGTGGCCCTGGTGCACAAGTTCTTTGGCAAGACAGACGCACAGTGCCCCGAGATGAAGTTGGCTCGTGTCCCTGAGTCCTCCCGCCTCAACTATGGCACAGATGGGCGCACGGGCAACACCTTCAAGTACCCGCTGGTGAGTGTCCGCAATGTCTACATCTTCCCTGGCATCCCGGCGCTGCTGGAGCGCGCCCTGGATGGGCTCGCCCACCTTTTCCGCAGCCACCAGACCCGCTTCCACTCCCGCACCATCTACGTGGCGGCCGACGAGATCCTCCTGGCACCGGTGCTGGACCAGACTGATGCTGCCTTCCGGGGCCGCGTCAGTTTGGGTTCCTACCCAGACTGGGTGAACAACTACTACCGTGTGAAGCTGACATTGGACTCGGAGTCAGAGCAGGAGCTGGAGGAAGCGTATCGCTTCTTGATGGAGAAGCTGCCGCCGGGTGTTATCGTGCCATTGGTGACCGACTGTGTCTCGCCAGCACCCACCGAGGTTTATGGCCTGGCTGAGTCAGGTACCAGGATGTGGTGCTGAAGGGCTGCACTGCCCCAGTGCAACCCAGCAGGGATGGGGGAAGCCCAGCCTGGGAGCAGAACATGGCTGTTCTGGGGTTCTGTGGGGCTTGATGGGTGCTGAGGCTTCACTGGTGCCAAAGCTGCACTGGGCTACGTCCCACAGAGGGACCCGTAACTCCAGTTAGGAAATGGTGTGAGGTTCTGAGAGCACAGTGTGAGTTTTGGGTGTGGTGTCACAGTTCACTGTGGCAGGATCCCCATCTCACCTGTGGCACAGACCTGTAGCTGCCCAAGCTGTGGGCTGCAGTAGCTCCACGGTGTCTCTGGAGACAAGAGGTGCCCCAAGGCAGTGTGACCTGGGCACCGACCACGTCGTCCCCCCTGCAGGCTCGGCCCTGGGGCAGAAGGTGGCAGCAGCTCTGCGAACCATCGAGGAGGCTTTGGACCGGTACAGCCTGGCCCAGCTCTGCGTGGGTTTCAACGGGGGCAAAGACTGCACAGCCCTGCTGCACCTTGTCCATGCCGCTGTGGAGAGGTACCCAGCCATGGGGAAGGGCTAAAGGTGGTCCCACAGGCCCCAGCAGGGTTCCAGGGATTCCCCTGCCCCCTTCTGGGGGAACAAGCAGCTTCCTGGAGCTCGACTGGCAGGGACAGGACTGCTCTGCCACCAGTCACTGGAGGCCAGCCCTGTGCCCGGTCTCTCCCCAGGCGGTACCCAGCCAGGCGGGAGAAGCTGCAGGTGCTCTACATCCGCCTCGTGTCGCCCTTCCCCGAAATGGAGCAGTTCATCCAGGCCACTGTCCAGAGGTACATGGGGTCCTGCCGGGCCAGGGGGTGAGCAGCATGTCCTGCAGCCCCGCAGGCAGTGCGGGGGGGCCCGGCCCCGCCTGAGGGAGCGGGAGCCGCAGCTGGAGGCCGTCCTGATGGGCACGCGGCGGACGGACCCCTACTCCCGCACCCTGACCCCCATGTGCCCGACAGACCCTGACTGGCCTCCATACATGCGGGTGAACCCCCTGCTGGTACGTGACCCCCCCCTGCTTTGAGGACAGGGCTGTCCCCAGTCACTGGGGAGGGAGTCTGGCAGGTCCCAGTGACAGGGCTGGAGTCAGCACTAATCCCCCCCATCTCGAAGGGCTTCCCTGTCTGTTCCCCTTCTCCCCCAAGCGCCTCCTGCTCCATGATGTGGCCGTGGGTGCCTCTTGATACCTGGTGCTTGTTCATGCCCACTGGGGGCTTTTCCTGGGTTTGGGAAGGACGGGTGCCCCGAGGGCCAGCTGGCTCCACCATGTGATCCTGGGGGGGCCCGGCTGGCTTCCCTGGGGGTGCTGGAGCAGCCTGCCTGCCCCTGCAGCGATTCCTGCCCAATTCCTCTTGCAGGACTGGACCTACCGGGATATCTGGGAATTTCTGCGCAAGCCCTTTGTCCCCTACTGCATCCTCTACGACAAGGGGTGAGTGTCTGGCCCTGCCCACCCAGCCTAGCCCGGCCCAGCCAGGTGGGTGCAGTCTGGCAGCCCCCTCCCCCCTCCACAGCTACACCTCTCTGGGGAGCACGGCCAACACGCAGAAGAACCCGGCGCTGCGCTACACCGATGCCGGGGGCCGGGAGAGCTATCGGCCTGCCTACGAGCTGGAAAACGAGGAAGAGGAGCGCACCTCCCGTCGGTGATGGGCCCGCGGGCTCCGCTGGGACGCGGCCATGTCCCCTGGGGGTGGCACTGAATAAACCTGCTGTGCTCAGCCCGTATTGCCCTCGCGCTTGGTTGTGCCGGTGCTTTTGGCCCTGCGGGGGGAGGGAATGAGGCCAGCTCTGCCCGAACAAAAGGTGTCCCCCCCGGGCGATGCCTCCTCCCCTCACCCGCTATTGTGGGAACTTTTGAAGCCTGGAGAATGCAGCAGGTTCCAGCGCTTGCTGGGGACCT